CCAAAACCCCAAAACCCCAAAACCCCAAAACCCCAAGACATAAAATTCGGCCGAAATGTTATTTTTAGTAAATATAAAACGTAATAAATATTGCGAGAGGCGTCTATTTTTAGTACTTTTCTGCAATTATTCAATACAGATAACAAAAGTATTATCCTTAATCACAATTTCAATTATAATCTAATAATATTTATGCTAATTCAAAATTACAACTCAATGAGACAGAGTCTTGATAACAACCACTCAAGAACACTCATCCACAAAAGAACAATTTCTAAGAAAAATACCTCATTAAATAGAAATAATATGGCAGTAAACATCACTCGACATCTGATTGATGAATCCTCACTGAAGATTTAGAGATTACCCACTATTAAATAGAAGCCTTAGCAAAGACAACTCCTTAACCTTCGCCCCATGAATGACACTGATTGCTCAACACCCTAGTCAAATGACTAACTGCCCGAAATTTCTCAAAATGGAAGATCATCAATTTAATACAGTTCACAGCATGTGAGGAAACCTTCAAACATCGGGACTGAAGCACCTAAAAGAGTCTACAGAGTTCCTCAAATTAGTTAGTTCGCAAACGGTAGAAAAATTATACCTTCTATAGAACAGATAAAGCTATCAGAAATAAACTTCCCTGAGAGTGCACCTTCTTCACCCTCTCCCAGAAAGAAGATGAGAAAGCTTAAATTCTCTCTTGAAGAGGTAGTGATAAAAAACTTCAAAGAGCTTAACTCTCATCCAGCAACCAAAAACCTTAAGAGCAGTTCGGCATAATCAGAAAACTTAGAGTTTTCTGAGATGGAAAAGGGATACTCCAAGCACAAATTAACAGAGTATAATAGGGCTAAAATGGTAGATTGGATGATTTAAGTCTATAATGTTTTTGGTAAAAGTACCGAGAAAACTTTATTCACTGCTATTTCAATCATGGATCGCTACATTTTGAGAAAAGAACCAAACGAAAAAATTGAGAATCTCAATGACCACTACCATTTGATCGGGATTGTTTGCGTTTGGCTCGGTTCCAAATTAGAAGATACTAAAGAAATCCAATTCAAACAAATCTATAGAGATGCTGGACATGCTAAATTTAGAAAACAGCAAATCTTGGATATGGAAGCAGACATCCTCAGAACATTGAACTTTAACCTCATTGACACGTAACCATATGAAGAGTCTATGACTCTTCTTAAGCTATTCTAGTATGACGGCAACAAGAAAATCTTCGAATAAGACGAGATTCAGAGAATGTAGGACATTCTCAAAGTTTTATCTCTTACAAATGCTCACGGATTCATAATCTCTTCTGAGAAAAAGGAAAAGGTCTGGACTGCCTAGGTAATACTGGCAATCAGACTCCTTGCCTTAATTAATAATAAAAAGGGAATTAATCAAAGTGCTGCTCTTACTAAAGAATAAAAAGAATTCGTGAAGGACACAATAAAAGCATTCAGGAAGAAAAACGGCATTTGCAAGCCAAAAATGCATGAGCTAAAAGAGATTAACAAAAAGATAATCTCTAGCTTCATGGATTTCGAAAGACATTTCGACAAGATTAGGAATATGATCAAAGATAACCAATACTATTAGATCATAAAACAAGCCTTTTCCTAATTATAGTAATGAAACATTAATAATAAAAAGGCAACCTCATCAATAATAAAATATAAATAGTAAATATACAGTAGTCGACCACTCGTTTAATAATTTGAAAGCATCTTATTTATTTTTAATTTGAAACATACTTTAACCAATAATATTTATTCGATAAATCTAATCAACACAAACCACCCACTAAGACAATATAATTATCTTCGGGGTTTTGGGGTTTTGGGGTTTTGGGGTTTTGGGG